GTGACAGAGATCCGAGTCACCGGAGGGCAGCCACAGGAAGGTGGGCAAGAAAGCAGAGGGGCAGCAAAGGCGGAGGCCTTCAGGTGGGTTATTTAATTGCTGTAAGCTCCAGTTTCTTCATCTCCAAGCGGCAAAGATGATGATGAACTAACACAGAGTGTTTGCCGTGTGCCAGGCACGGTTCTAAATGCCTTTCATATTTGACTCTTAGTCCTCAAGATGGCTGTCAGACATAAGTACTACTATTATCATTGTTACAGAGGTGGAAACTGAGGCACAGAAAGGATAAGGTCACCAGCTAGTAAGTGGAAGAGCCGGGACTTGAACCCACACTGAGAGGCTGCAGAGCCCGTGCTCTTGCCCACCCTGTCAGGTGCCTCTCCGGGCCTCCTGGCAGCGTTACCGCTGCAAACCAGGCACACGGTGTGCTTCTGTGTGTGTTGGGCGCGTGGCCAGTGCCGGCACAGACAGGACAAGGCGCGGAACAGGCCGTCGGATTGCAGTGGCTCTGGCTGATCGTCTGCTGGGCCCCGTCTCCTTCCCTGTGCCCGTTGGCAGTTTCAGCCAGTCGGGGCGCACTGCTTGTCAATCATCCAGCGCCATTCTGGGCACATTAATAGGCACTGTCTGGAATGCAGCTTGGTATGCCAGCCCCTTGGGGTGTTGATGACCATTTTAACACCCACCTGCCACTGTCGCTCATTCACACTGAATGCAGCCTCCCCGGCTCATTGGAAACCCCCACCAGGGCGGCACCTCCCCAGTCATCTGGACGGGTGTCTGCGCTTTGTGGAGCCCTGATCACTCTTTATAGAAAGGGGGCACCAGGGGGAGGAGAGTGGAGGGAGGGAGCACTGCTTCAAGTTTTCAAGTTATAATGATCCCCGTGATTGAGATACCGAATTGCACATTTAAATTGCTCGAAAGTAAAAATACCGTTTTGTAACGTTGGTGTTAATAATGTAAACATTAAAAAGGAATTAAATACTTTGCTTCATTGTGCGGCACAATTGCTCGGTTTTCCCTTCAACTTATTCAACTAGAGGAAATGATTGGCTGCAATACCCAGATATGTTACCAAAATGTGGGTCTGGACTTGCATCAGAATAGTTCATCATTTAAACACCCCTGGGTAAAAGTAGCCAAAAGGGTCACCCTGCCAATAATTGCGGCCTCATTCTGGAGCTTTCTCTGAAGACACGTGTTTGAGATGTGTGGGGATAGGCTCAGTGGGGACCTGAAGGGCAGCCTGACGTATGTGATGCCCCTCGGCTCTGCTGAGACGTCTTGTCTGCCCCGGGGAGGGCCTGCCTGCATCTGCGGTGCAGTAGAAGGCACCCTAGCGAGCCCCCCAGCCCGTCTGCAGCAGCAGCCCTGCCTCGCTTGTCCCCTTTTGCTTCAAAGCACTGCTCCCTGTTTGCAGCAGGTCCAGGCGTGCATTCATCTCTCACTCAATAATATTGTTTGAGTAAAAGAATCTGACGAGAAGGACACTGGACTATAAACCCAGGCCTCCTGCCTACCTACCCCACCCTCACCCCTCTTACAGGGCCGAGGGAGGAAGGTTAAGGGCAAACCAGGAACAGGTAGATTTCCGGATTTTGTTCTTGGACTAGCTCTTGGCCTTTCTGTCGAGTTTCAAGGCAGCCTAGTGGCAGAAGGGAGAAGCTCTGAGAAACGCCTAATGAGGGGGCCCAGGCCTGGCTGCAAGGCCGCCTGCCCAGCTAGCGCTCCGCTCAGTGCTGTCTCAGGGCTGCTTCCCCCCACCCTCCCCGCCAGTGCTTGGTGCCCACACTTTCATTTTAGCTCTTTCCTTCATCTTCTGTTTTATGTTTTTGGCAACAGAGGATGCAGGTTTAAATCAAAAGTCAGAAGCTTAGAGCATTCTGAAAAGCTGCTGATGAGTGGCGTCGCCGTGCCATTTGTTCTGTTAGACTGCTGCCTGCCCTTTCCCGCATGGGCTAAAGCTCCGTGCAGCTGGGAGAGTGATGGGCTGCCAGGGTGCTGCCCAGAGGCCCAGGGCTTCCTGATGACATTGCATTATGGAAAAGCTGTAATAACATTCCGCTCCTTAGTCTCCTCTTTAATCACACAGGGGACACTGGGGGACGGGAGCAGGGGTGGGGGATGAATGTCTCCCAGGCCGCCCTATTCCCCTGGGATGGGCGGCAGTGGAGAGGTTGGGTCAGGAGCAAGTTGCTCCACAGATACGGTAATGATCTGTTTGCTCTTCAACGTCACCTGTCTTGAGGACCAAGTTAGAGTTCCTGTGGGACAGATGAGGAAACTGAGGTAGGAGAGATGCTTAGCAAATCCACCAGCATGCGGAGCACACTAATTGTATGAGGACACGGCCAGAGGAAGGATCTGGATTAGAACCTGTAGCCCTGGCATTGCCAGGCCCCTGCCATCCCCCCACGCTCCCCATTTGCTCTGTGTTGTCTCTGTTTCTCCCTCCTTAAGTATCAACTCAATATGAGGCTTATGGAGAAAGAGGCTCTCAGCAAACCCATTTCCTCTTTCTTGGCACACAGTTAAACAGCGCGTCAGACCCCTGGCATCTGGCTAGGGCCATGTGACTAACTCTTGCCCATGGGCTGTGGACGTGCCTTCCCCATGCCGTCTAACTTTCACCTGTCAAGAGCAGCCTTGTGGATGGCCTCTGAAGATGGTGGTGCCTCACGACGGACAGAGACCGGGTCCCTGGATCACTGTGTGGAGCAGAGGCTCTCGGCCAAGCACCTTGGATCATGATGTTACATTACTGATATCTGGAGATCCTACAGCAGTTAGCCTAACTCTAACTAAAATCTGTGTGTTTCTTAACTCACGAAAGAAGAAAGCCCCCCAGTCTGGGTAGGGGACATCAGCCAAGGCTCTCACAGTCTTCCAGGAGAGGGGGAGCAGTAGAGGTAGAAGGTTCAGAGGTTCTTTTCAGTTCTCACATTCTGGGATTTCTCCATTTCCATCTTAATCTCTCTCGGTGTCCAAACACATCAGCTCCCTGTGGCCAACCCAGACCACTTGCTGTTCCCTGAGTAGAGTGCCTGATTCCCTCCCCATGCTTGTGGAGCCTTTCCCTGGAAAACCTGCCCGTCTCCATCACCTTTCAGACTCGCCTCCCTCTCAAGGCACAGCGGGAACACCACCTCCATGACCACGCACGTGGCGGGGAGCCCCCGCTGCCCCCTCCCCTGGCTAGTACTCTACACAGCTGAGCATCCGGTTGAAGCACCCACGATATTTTCAGAAGGGAGTCTTAACTCGCGTTAAATTATGAGGTTCTTAACAATGATGGCACGGTGCTCACACTTCCTTGTGTGCTACACAGGCCCTAGCACTGTGCTGCACGCACCAGGCACTCGGCAAATGTGGGTGGGTGGAAGGCAGGCAGGCAGGCTAATGAAGTCACAAACAACGAGTGAACTACTGGGCCAGAGTTTTAAGTGTCTCCACCATCTGGACCCACTCCATTTCTCTTTGTTTCTACTACTCCCAACCACAAACCCCCATTCTGAGTGGGCTGCTCTGTCCACAGACTCCTGAGCACGCCGGGCTTTCCCTTCCCCATCTCCTCCCAACCTCCCCTCACCGACCCCCAGCTCCTCTCCACTCCCGTCACCTTTCAGGGCCCAGTTAACCTCGGCCCTCCTCCAACAATTTCTGTGACGGCTGTGCTCTCAGTGAACCTCTTCCAACTTTAAATCCTGGGGTTAATTGTCTGCACCACGCGGATCAATCCTTGGCACCAGCGGGCGTTGTCTTGTGTGGTTTGTTGTCAGTCCATGTGTGCTACTCTCGCCTCCTCAGTTAGAGCCCAAGCCACCCAAGAGCTGCATCTTCCACAGCGTGAGCAAAGAGAGCAGCACGGAGTAGCTGCTCGGGGACACCTGCCCATTGCCAGGTGACTCAGGGCTCCCTCACTCCTTTTGCCATTTTCAAGTGAATTCAGCTTGGAGACCAAAAATATATACACTCATCATCTTCTTTTCTTTCCATGCTTTTCTGTTCTCCCTCTTCCTGGATTTGGATCAACTGGGTGGGCTCATTCGGTTTCTGAGTTCACTGAGTTTCTGTATCTGTGGAACCATGCACGAGTTTCCAGACTGCAGTGACCCTCTGAGTTAAAGTCCAGTGAGAATAGTCTAAAACCAGTAGCCAACTTTGTCCCTTTTTTTAAAAAAAAATAACAAATTGCACTTTTGTCAGGGACATCTTCAGGAGGAGATGGGAACGTGGACTGAGGATTTGGACAGGAGGAAGAAGGCCTCATATGAGAAGGCGCCATAGCCAAGAGAGGGGCATCACATTGCCAGGGATTAGGACCCAGGCCCTGGGGAGCAGCTGTAGCACAGTTGGTGTCGTGGGCAGGCCAGCGGGCCATCTGGAAAGTCCCACACCTCCCAGGGCTGAGAAGGGGTGGAGGAATGAGAAGCTAAGCCAGGGACTTGGTTGTTGTGGTACCAGATTCTTAAGCAAGGAAGTAGCCTGGAAATAGCAGTATTTAGGGCTCTGTTTTGTCATTAGCAAATATGTAGTTTTTGGCTGACTCGCTTTTGCCACCCAACATACTTTGACTCAACTGTCCCACCATGGGAACAAAGCATGCAAATTAATCACATCATTGCCACAGCCAAACATGATTTGGGAGGTTAACCTGCTTGGAAGTCTGTATAGCATATTTTGAAATTAAACACAAGCTTTTTTATTATCCAGGACGTTCTTTCCTTCTATTAGTGTGGATCTTGGAAAGTTGATGGTAATTATCCATGAGAATCCCCAAATTACTTAATTTTACATTGTATAGGTTTCAAATGAAAGGACAACTTACTTTTCAGGTCCGGTGCCTGCCTTGCAGATACATGCAAATATTTTATGGCCACCATTTCTGCCTGAGTTCCCTGAAGGATTGTAGGAAATTGGTGAACTGTTTTTGCTGTATACTCTAGTCACTCATAAATTGGAACTGCCATACAGTGTGATCAGAATAAACAAATGGAAAGGGTAATAAGGCGCACCAGCAATCACTGGTGACCTCAGCAATTTTATTAACAAATTTATTTCCCTAATTGGGTAACGTATCTCAGTGCTTGACTCAAGGGCATTGTAATAGGTTTCCATACTGCAGAAGAAGGAATTAATTAGAACTGTTTGTTCTTGTTCCATATTTACGCTTGTCCACCAGTCTTGTAAACATTGCCCCTGGTTTCCTCGGTCCTCCGGCTTCCTCTGAGACCCCCAACCCACCCCCAAAATAAATAAATAGAAAGCAGAGAGTGTAGTTTAATATCAGTGGCTCCTCCTCGTGTGCACCCCCCGCCCCCCCGGAAGCTGCATTTCATGGTCAGAATGTGGCAGAATCATCACTTCCAACAGGCACTCAGAAGTCTGTAAAGAGATTCCTCATTATAACAGATTTTGGGGGATAAAAAGGAAAAGCAAAAAAGGAAAAAAAAAAAACAAGTCTCTAAAGAGACCCTCATCTCCACAGGCACATGGAGGAACTGGGGTCCTGCTTTACCTGTGCTTGTGCCTGGACAACCACATTGGACTTGGGTGCAAGAAGGTGAGGTGGGCAGATCTGTTCCACTTCATCCTGCCCCATTTGCAACTCCTCGTAGGAAGGGAAGAGGCATGCACGAGCTCTGTCTGCCCTTGGACCGGGCAGCCCACACCAGGAGAAAAAACACGAACTCATAAACTCACTCTTTAAGGCTGCTTCAAGTAGGTTTTTGCCTCACAGCTTGCGAGGACTGCAGCATGACAACAAGCGAGCGCTCTCAGATGCAAATACTCCAGAATCGCACTGCAGTGCTGGCCTCTAACTCATCATGCTGCTCCCTCCCGTGTACTCCACACAGCGCCACTGTATCCTGACTGTCCCTTCTACGATGACCAGCATTACAGCAGGGTGCCAGGGCATGTCGAATCACCTCCAGAGCTGATTGACAGCTGTTCGTATAGTCTGCCATGTATAGAGATGGCTTCAAGGGTAGATATGGCTATTGCAAAGACATCTAAGGGGTGTCTAGACTACCCTAGCTACCAGTAGGTCCCTTTTTGAGATCTGTAGCCCAGAAAAATCCAGTTAAGCCCAAGAAGTTTCATTGTCCCTCTTGGATATCCTGCAGGATCCCAATGAGATTTTCCAGGCCAAAAATATAGCCAGGGTCTGGTCCATCGTAGGTGGTGTGCTCATTCCAGGAGCCCTTGTATGTCGTGTGAGCGAAGTCGATCATGCGGATGTCAACCTTGGCGAGACCCCCGGGAGAGCTGCTGTGGGCCACCTGTGCAGCCTCCTGAGGACGCAGGCTGCCTGAGGTTCTTTCTGAGGGCTCCTGCCCATCGTAGATGATGAGGAGGGAGCTGGAGTAGAACCGGTAGGAACTCTGGCTCCTGATGACCGCGAGGAGGGCCTGGAGCTGGCGTAGGATGGGCTCCAGCAGCTCAGCGCGGAGGTGGGTTCCATTGTGCAGGAACTGATAGAGGGCTTGCCTGAACCCATCCACCGAGAGCTTTCGTCCATAGTACTTGTCTCTGCAGAGAAAGTGCTTCTTATCTGTTTGATAGACCTTCCATTAAAAAGAAGAAAGAGAAAATGTGAAGAATTACAAACTTAAATAAAAATGTTGCATCTGATATGGTTGCAGCATCACAAGCTAGGACGACACATGAACGGATGTCCAGGAGACGCAGGGCAGGGTGACTGGTGTGAGTGGAAGGTGACCCTCCGTTAAGCACCAGTGTAGCATTTACATTTTGAAACGCTTTCCATGCAGATCTTAATAGTAGGATTCAAGATCCTTCACCCTACAGAGGTGAGCCTCCCCTACAAGGAGAACGGTTGGATTTCCTTTCTTGTGACTTTCCAATGTCAACCTCCAAATCATGATTTAAGTCCTGGCTTCTGGCCCTCTTCAATTCAAATATTAGCAAACCCAAGCTAGAAAGCTTTAGTAGGAACCTGAAATCACAGCCAATGGCTTTGGAAAGCCAACTAGATTAAATTTTTCCCAAAAAAGTTTATAAGGTCCTTTCTTTGCAGATTCCAAGGAAACAGTAATGGCTCTTGTGGTGGAGTGAGGTGAATCGTGTGAAGATACAAAGGCAGGCTGGGTGCGGTGGCTCACGCCTGTAATCCTAGCACTCTGGGAGGCCGAGGTGGGCGGATTGCTCGAGGTCAGGAGTTCGAAACCAGCCTGAGCAAGAGCAAGACCTCCATCTCTACTATAAATAGAAAAGAAATTAATTGGCCAACTAATATATATAGAAAAAATTAGCCGGGCATGGTGGCGCATGCCTGTAGTCCCAGCTACTCGGGAGGCTGAGGCAGCAGGATTGCTTGAGCCTAGGAGTTTGAGGTTGCTGTGAGCTAGGCTGACACCACGGCACTTACTCTAGCCCGGGCAACAAAGCGAGACTTTGTCTCAAAAAAAAAAAAAAAAGATAAAAAGATAAAAAGGCAGACTGTCAGGTGTGGACAGAGTTGTCGGACAGCCAGTGCAGCTGAGGGGCCTGGGTGGAGGAGGGCGGCTCATAGCAGCCCTGTGGTGCTGGTGGCCGCTCTCCTTGGCACTGCCTGCCCTCCCCTCCCCCATCATGTCTTGGCCACCAGAAGGGAGCAGATGGAAGAGAGATGCTGATAGGGGACAGTGGCAGCCACCCGCATTTCATTCAGATGGCACAGGCAGCAGCAGAAGCTGGACCAAGGCCAGCGCTGGCATAGCCAGAGTGGGACTTGGCGCCCCTCTGCCTCGCACACCTGGGAGGGCTGCCCATACCTGGCCAAGACAGTTTCTCAGGTCTTTCCTGCCTTCACAGTACATGATGTGTTTGTAGAAAACCAGTGTTGAAAAAAATCAGAAAGACAGGGTAGACTTCGGGTTGCCTTTGGAGGGCTGGAGACTGGCTGCTAAATTAGCCATCATAAATATGTGACAGGCATCACTTTCTGAATAAATCAGATCAATTTCAGAAGATTTGAGGTCCAGAGAGAGATTCCACTTATGCCACAAGTCATCACACTGCATTCTCTTGAGGACTGCATTCCAAGCCTTCCAAGGGACATCTGTGCAACAAATTTATAGACTTAACTTCCAGTTTCAAGGGGTGGCAGTTTCAATTAAGGAAAGCTATAACGTTTACCATCAAATTGGTGTCTGGTTTTGCTTTGAGTAGACAGACTGTAAGAGGGAATGAGTGGGGGAAGTTTATTTCCTCCTGTTCTCCTGCAGCCCCTGTCATAAGCTACATCAGAGCAGCAAAAATGAGCATGGAGTCTGCGTGATAAGAAAATAACCATTCCTTGCGGGGGTTAGCAGGTTATGACGTTCCCATTTTGTCAGCCAGAACAGGTAACAAAAAGAAGCAGAAAAGGTGGATTAACAAGAGGAAATGGGCCAGGTGTGGTGGCTCACACCTGTAATCCTAGAATTCTGGGAGGTTGAGGTGGGAGGATCACTTGAGCTCAGGAGTTCGAGACCAGCCTGAGCAAGAGAAAGAACGAGACCCCATCTCTACAAAATATAGAAAGATTAGCCAGGCATGGTGGTACATGTCTATACTCCCAGCTACTCGGGAGGCTGATGCAGAATTGCTTGAGCCCAGGAGTGTGAGGTTGCTGTGAGCTAGGCTGACGCCCCTAGCCTGGGCAACAAAGCAAGACCCTGTCTCAAAAAATAAAATTAAAAAAAAGAGGAAATGGCTAATGAGAATTCAAGGAGCAGACTGCCACACAGCATCTGAGGAAGGGATTCCGCTTTATCACTCAGGAGAACGAGGACTCAGGAAGCCAGAGTGCACCAAGAAACTCTTTCTCTTAGCTCTTCCCTGGCCCCTGTTCACACTGGCTCATCCAGGTCTGGGCACAGCGTGGGCAGGAGCCACATGGCCGCTGTGGGACGTTCCAGATGCCAGAGGCCTGACAGCCCTATCCCGATAAGGTGCTCCTGAAAACCCGGCGCGTCATAGCCCGAGACGCGCACGGCTCTGTCGGAAGACTGGCTCCCGGCTCCTCTGCTGCTGCCCCAAAGCGAAGGGCTCCACAGGGCAGCGCCGTCCGCGTGGGAGACAATCTCGAGCCACAGCGGGCACGCCGGGAAGTGGCGGGCCTCCGTGACCTACCTGCATGCCGCAGATGCGCACGCCCAGGCGGGCCGAGGTGCTCTGCGCACACTTCTTCATGTGGCGGGCCTTCTTCTCCTCCGACGCGTCGTCCCCGTGCTGCCGGGTCCCCATCTTCAGGTCCAGGATGCAGGGGTGCGTGTACGGCGACACCACGTTTTCCAGCAACAGGAACCCTCGTCACACCAAGTTAAGAAAGACTCCGAGGACCTCCCGGCTGCTGCCCCACCGGAGGCCGTTATTGCGCCGGGGAAGCTGCCCGGAAACTCCCCACTGAGCCGCCCCGCCTCCCGCCCCTCCTCACTCAAGCTCAGCCTTGCTATTAAGAACACAAGGCGTTAGCTTTGCAGGCTGCTTTAATAAGTCCATTTATTTAGAGGGAGTTTATGAGTGTGTGAGCTTTTCCTTTTTCCATTTGCTCTGAGGTTGAAATTTAAATACAGGTGAGAAATCCCTGGCAGGCCAGGCCCAATTTATGTTTGATGGCAGAAAATCGTAAGGCCAAAACCTCCAGTCACTGAATGGACCAGCACCTTTTGGGAGAAGTGGGTTGATGTTAGCTTTGGAGATGTGTTGCAGGAATATTAATTTCAGCGGAGTAATTATCCTGCAAAAGCTTCTTAGGGATTAGGGTTGCAGATGTGTCTTAGTAAATACTGTGAAGCCAGCCACCCGTTTGTGGGAAGGAGCCCAGTGGTGACAAGGGTCATTTCAAACCTAAATTTGTTTCCTGAGAACCTGCAGCCCATTGTGGGGGACCTTCTATCAGCGTCCCTCCCTCGGACACCTCCCCAGGGAAGAGGCCTGCGGGGGAATTTGCAGATACAGACGGGGGGTTGGGCTGGGGACCCGTCTAGCCCTGGGAGCCCCGTGCCACCTCCACCCAGCGTGGCACAGCGACCTCGTCCCACCCCCTCCCTGCCCAGGTGGCAAGGCACTGAGTTCCCACACGCTCTGGCTTTCCTTTCGGAGGGACCTGATTTCCTCTTGGTCCCTCACATCCATCTGGCTGTCCCTGCCCACCCCTCCCTTGGCCCCACGTGCCCATTGCTTCCCCCGCGCCTGCTCCCTGTGTCTCTCTGTCCCTGTCGCTGCCGTGGGATTCGTGTGGGCACGCGGGCAAGGATACGGTGCCGCCTGTCCTCGGGGAACTCGGTGCGCAGGCGGGTCAGGTGGGCCTGGTGGCAGTGCAGGCCCCACGGGTTGAAGCTCTTCTTCTCAGCCTGGTTCCCGCCAGCGTCCTCCAGCCGTGAGGACACTTGAGCGCTGAGGTGGGACTCGGGCCTCAGGACCACCTTGGCTGGGCTGCCGCTGGCGGGAGCACACGGCGGTCAGGGTGGGGCGGGAGGGTGCCCGTGCCTGTGCCTGGGCTCTCTGGGTTGGGCTGTGACAGGGCTGTCCCCAGTGGCTTTCCCTGGTGGCTTCACCAGGCTGCTGCAAGTGCCCTCCCTGTCCAGCTCGGGTCCCGGGGACCCGATCACGCCCCACTGCAGCCGTCTTGGGGAAGGTGTCACCCATCAGAGGGCCGAAGTGGTTTAAGCTGGCGTGGGTGATCTGGACTATCATCCCATGCGGGGACCATCTGGAAGCACAAGGCACTTAGACTCTGATTCTCTGGCAGGCCCGTGTGTGCTGGAGACCTCACAGTGCCATAGGGAGCGGGCAAGGTGGGCTGGGGGCGCCCCAGGACTCCGCACCCCCTTTCTCCTGCCTTCCTGCATCTCGGCTTCCCGCTCCGTGCCATGGAGGCAGCGTGCCTGCTTCCCGACGCTGAGCCAGGGGCGCAGTTAGATCCACGGCTGCCGCGGGAAGGCGGTGTCGCCATTGTGGTGGCTCCCTTTTGTTCTCCATACGTGTTTTAAAAATCCCCAGGGATCCTTTTCATCTGAGAAAGGCCAGCTGACATCGTCAGGGGTCTCGGAGCCCTCTCCAAGGACCTCCGGACCCACTGTGAGCCGCGCGGACCTCCACGTCCCCTCCATGTCCCCACTGCTAAGGGAAGATGAGTTCTGAGAACAGTTAGCCACACTATTCCTGTATGTGAACTATTCTAGGGCTTCTGTTCTGCACACTTTCCCCCAGAGACACTTGATGGTCTCAGTGAAACACGTATTTAATTAAACAAATATGTACCAAATACGTACTCCGTATGGCACTCTGCCTGTGCATCAACTCTGAGATAAAATGCACCCCAATTCTCCCTCTGGAAGTGGCATAAAAGAACATCCATCCCTTTCTTTGGTCACACTGGTTATTCTGAGCCTTCCTCTGAATCTCTCCTTTTCTTGGCACCGGCCCTAACAGGGAGGGCTGGCCCTGGCACAGGTGGGAGTGCTGCGGGCCCTGCCATCCTGCCAGGTAGCCCTCACCTCTCCTTGGCTGGGCATGCCAGCTGCGTGAGGATGCGGGCGCTGCCGCTGCCGCTGGTGGTCTGCTGGAGCGCCTGCCAGATGGCCACCGCCGCCGACTCCGTGGAGACCTTGAAGGGCTCCTGATTCTCTTTCAGTGGGTTGGCGACCAGGCTGAGATGGCCCTGGCTGTCTTTCCAGAGGTGCACGGTGATGGTGCCTGCAGAACACAAGGGGGGGAGCGTGTGAGATGGCCCTGGCTGTCTTTCCAGAGGTGCACGGTGATGGTGCCTGCAGAACACAAGGGGGGGGGCCGTGTGAGATGGCCCTGGCTGTCTTTCCAGAGGTGCACGGTGATGGTGCCTGCAGAACACAAGGGGGAGGCGTGTGAGATGGCCCTGGCTGTCTTTCCAGAGGTGCACGGTGATGGTGCTTGCAGAACACAAGGCGGGGGGGACCAGGTGAGATGGGCCTCCCAGCGGACGCGTGGCAGTGGGTGACAGTGGTGGGAGTTCAGTCTGATGGCACAGGTCAGTCTCCCCTTCCCCAATGCCTTGCTCAGTGAAGAGCGTTCCTCTGTGGCCTCCACGCAGGGGCGGTGCACTGCCCCTCACATTGGCCCCCGTGGGGGGTGGTCACAGCTCTCCAGTGTGGCTAGTCCCCGGTGCCCTCGGCCCTGGTCGTTCCCTCATCCCGCCTGCATGTCTGCAGAGAGTCGCTCTCAAGATTCTCTTCATGGAAACCCTTTGAGCCGACCCTTCGCCTCCTGCTGGGGCCCCGACCAACAGGGTGGGCTGAGTGTCTGTACGTCCTCCAAGGTGTTTATTTCCTCCCCAGCCGCTTGGTCGCCTTCTCAGAGTGAGGGCGCTTTCCGCTGAGCAGGCCATAGAGGCAGCGGGTCTCCCGTTCGTCCTCGCCGGCAGTGCGGACGCTCGTTGTCAGGGCTGCTCTGTAGCTCAGCAAGTTGCTCTCCAGAGCCATCTGTGCCTGGCTCAGCGGTCTCCCTGGGCCAGTCCTGTCATCTCAGATTCCCATGCCCTAATTTTGCAGCCTAGGGTGACATTCAGTCCTTTCCAACTCCTAAAAAAACTCCACTTTTGCTCGCCCCATCCCAGGCTCCTGTGTCCTGTGATGCAGTCACAAAGGTAATGATAACTCTGTACCCAAACCTGGCATTTCCCCTCTCCCTGCCACCAGCATTCGTCCCTAGGCCACGCCCACAGTAGCCGTCCCTAGGCCACGCCCACAGTAGCCATCCCACTCGTGGGAGCAAGGGCTGCGGCGGGAGGGGCCCTGGAGCACCCTGCCCGTCTTCCCGCCCGCCGTGCGTGGCATAGGCCGCACTGGGCTGCTTTCCTTTGCTGCCTCCAAGTCCCAATGCCCTGCAAGGCCACTGACGACCGGTCGCTGAGGCTCGGGGGATTGAATAACCTGCCCAAGGTCACAGGGTTGCCACAGGGCGGAGCTCTGAGCTGCCACCCAGTCATGGGTGTGGAAGAAGGGACAAGCAGTTACACAGAGCAGGGACTGTCTCTGGAGAGTCCAGTGCCGTCACACTGTGTTTACCCTGCGTGTGCATGAGGGACGCTCCTGCTGTGTCCCCTGTCACACTTGCTCTGCTCCTTGTGTCCCGTGGTGGGGAACAGAGAGGCCACGATTCCTTCACCCAGGAGAGGGCCGTTGGCACCGAGGGCTGGGGCGCCAGGCCACAGGGGCCTAGGGTTTGCATGTCCAGCCCTGTGTCCTCCGGGAGGGGGTGTCGTCGCCATGCTGTTCTAGGGAGAACTGACCTTTCCAAAACCAGCACCAGGCCCCCTGGCCCACGGCTCCACTCACCAGGGGACAGAGCTGGCCTCGGTGGGGCTCCCTGAGGAGCTCAGGCCTCCCGGCTGCTGGGAGCCAGAAAGGTGCGCCGGCCAAGGCAAGGCCCTCTTGGGTCTTGTAAAGTTCACTTGCCACCCAGCAGCCCCCGGCTTCTCCACTTGAGAGGCCACGGTGGCAGGGCTGCCAGAAACCACAGGGTTGGGAAGCCCCAGGCCCAGGAGGCCTCCCTGGAGGACAGGAACCGTGAACTTCACCCCTCTCCAGGCTCCAGCTCTTGTCTGATCTCATCAGTTCTGAGTGTCTGAGTATATGGAGGAGAGCAGAGGTGCGAATAACCCAAAACCAATAAAATCCAGAAGTCATTTCCATTTCTCATATTGTCAGAGCTGCACAGCCAGACTCTGAGTCCCTGTCTCTCTCTGTCTTTCTGCGTGCCTCTGCCGGGCTGTCTCTGTCTCCAGCTTTTGTCTCTCTTTTCCTCCCTCCCTCTCTCACCCCTCCGTCCCCTGCGCAGCTCAGCTCAGTCCTTCCCTGCAGAGCCTGGCTAGGACCCAGAGCAGATAGCCCCTTGCAAACAATCTCAGGTGGCTGCCCCCGGCAGAGCAGTGTGTCGGTAGAACCCAGACTCCTTGGTGCTTGGGCCGTTCGTTTATCCAAGAGCCACGTGGGCTGCAGCCTGGCCTCTGGCTTGCCCCGTGTGTCTAGGGGAGTAGGCGTCCGAGGGCCCGCCCTGGCTAGGAGAGTGCAGGGCCCAGCCAGAGTCCCCCCTGCCTGTTCTCCAGCCCTCCCCGGGTACCTCGACCTGAGACCATGCCAGCTGGGCGGGCAAGAGCGCTTACTACACGACTGGCATGCCCACAGCATCTCAGCAATTTTGGTTTGGCCGAGCAGCTTCCTGAGCCTCAGTGAATATTCTATCATGTATTTATTTTTAAGCTTGTGAGGGCATTAACTTGCCACCGTCTGTAATATGAATCGGCTCAACTGTTAACCAGCTGGACCTAAGAATATGTCCTCATTCGCCCAGAGCGGACGGGCAGGCTGGGGGCGGAGGGACACAGCCCCCAGAAGCTGCTGTGCTCAAGGAGCCCAGACAGAGTCCAGGGCGAGCCCTGCACGCGGCGGCTGCCGTTTGGAATGACAGCCCTGCCCAGCGTTCTCCCCGAGGCCATCCTGCTGCGGGCCAGGAGAAGGGTGAGGGTGTGCTCAGTGGCTGGTGGGGGCCACTTGGAAACAGCCCCTCTCTCTGGGGGCTGTTCCTATCAGGGAGGCCTCCATGGCAGCCGTGGGGATTCGAGTTCCTGACCTGAGGTCACTAGCTGACTGCCCCTGGGCAAGTCATGTCCCCCCTTGGGCTAGATGACCCCGAAGCACTGACACCCGAGTCTCCCTTCAGGAATAGGAAGCTCGGTGGGGCGGGCATATGTGGCCAGCACCCACGCTCGGGAGCTTCCAGTCCTGGCTCCACCTCTCACTGGCTGTGCGGCCTGAGCAAGCCCGCAACCTCTCTGTGCCCATTTCCTCACCATGACCCAGGAGTAATAAAGGTGTCTACCCCAGCAGGTGTGGGGGTACGTGAGCTGGTGCACGGAAACCACTCACAGCTGTGGCAGGCGCAGAGCAAGGTCAGCCGATGCCACTTCCCTAACTGGACAGAGCCAGCAGCTGGCAGCCCTCTCAGGGACCCTTCCGTTTGCAGGCGGCCTCTCCCGCCTGTCTTCCTGGGAGTCCTGGCTCTGGGCCTTCTGCAAGGGTCTCCTTAGCTGGTGCGCTTGGTCGGCGGGTGCTTGGGCCACAGCGTTTCTGCTTTTTCAAAGCCTCCTGTGGGTGTCGCCCCAGGCACGGCTCTGTCTCCCCTCGGCCGCAGGTGGGGGTGGTCAGTGGTGTGGTCTCCTCTGAGGGTGTCACAGGGCTCCCTGACGCAGGCGCCTCCCCAGCTTGTTTAGAAACACCATCTCCCGTGTGAAGCCCGGGGCCGCTGCTACACTCGCTTTGACACCTTGGCCCCGATTCACCTGCTGAGCTAGCAGAGCCCCAGGGCAGATGGCAGTGCCGGGCCCAACCTGAGGGGCAGCGGGGCAGAGCAGGGGTCTGGACAGCAGGCCCGTGCCCAGGAGCCCAAGAGCAGCACCCTCCTGCCCCCACCAGAGCCCGGCCCAGCACAGGCAGGAGCAGGGAGGGGCAGGGAGGTCTCCTGAAGGCCAGGCCAGCCTCTCCCCGCTCCTGCTTTGCCCGGGGCTGCCCGGCAGCCTGTCTCAGCTCCAGAGCCCTGTGGAGCAGGCGTGAAATGCTGCTGGCAGAAGGCCACCCTACACACCGTCCTGCCATCCCTCTGCTGGGCTGAGTTCAGTTGCGAAGGGACAGTCACTAATTCCGGTGGGTGCCCTGACAAGATGGGCAGTGACCCGCAGCCAGCCAGGCAACACCAGCCCGAGGGCCCGGGAGACCCCGGCGGAGAGGAGAGGGCTGCACAGGTGGCCCCTGGCCTGCCGTGCCCTGTCTCTCAGTGTGTGACGATGGTCCGCTTGTCTTAGGCTCTCAGGAGGTCCTGGCAGGCCGGCTGAAGCCAGGCAGGTGTGAAACAGCGCTCCGAGGCTACGCCCAGAGTGCAAGGCCTGGCGCCCGCCGGTGGTTCCTTCCAGACCAAGCTGAGTGTGGATTCTTGCTCTCACCCCAGGACCCCAGGGATCCTGACTCACAGGTGTGGAGTGGGGCCTGGGAACCTGTGATGGTGGTGACCTTGGATCACACTTTGAGAAACACCAATGCAGATAGGCCCGTCCTCCCCAGTTATCTGGGTCACCGAAGTGCAAGTGGGATTTTAAGGGAGTTATTGGACGTTATCACCTCCCCCCAGACAGGACAGCGGAGCCTGCAGTGGTGGACTCTGAACTCTAAACTCCTCCAGGGAGGTCTTTTCTCTGAGCACTCGCCCCTCTGGGGTCTAGCTGCGGGGCAGAGCCAGCCGGGCTCTTTACCCAAGGCCGGGTATGGACACAGCGGCCTGCCCCGGGCGCTCGGCCTGCCAGGATGCCAGCAGGAGGCACCCTCTCCTCCAGCTGTCTCTCCCCAGAGTCACCTCGGGCCCAGATCCGGAACACACACTGCAGGGGCTCCCCAGCTACTCCCGGGTGGCAGCCCATGCCCTGGGCTGTGCCCCTTCCTGGGTGAAGGTGGGACTTCTGGTTTCCTAAAAGAGCTGTGTCCCCGCCTCTCCATGCTCTGTCCCAGACCCCAGGCTCCTGCTGCCCGCCTGGGCCTCCAGAGAGAGGTGGAGGAGGCCTCAGCCCATGCCGTGTTTACGGCGGTTGACCAGCCGGACGCCCTCAAGGCACATACCAGACTGCCACCCCAGGGCCGGGAGAACGGGGCATTGTGTTATTCCATCCTCAATTCCCGGAGGCCTGGTGGCTTGAGTCAATTTGTCTGGAAGCCAAATGGCATTACACTCCAGACCTGGAGGCATGAAGAGTTCAGAGAAACCAAGGCCAGCCAGGAGAGGGGCACGTCTCCATGGCAACCCTTGCACACACCACGCGCACCCTGAGGTGGGGGCGTGGCAGCAGGCACGTGGCCTGGCTGCCGGACACTCACCTTTGTACTGAGGTGTGAAGCGCTTCATGGCCAGCGGCAGCGATTCGTAGAACCTCTGCTCCCGGGAGACGAGGGGCTTGCACACGGTGTGCTCGTCATACTTCATCACGCTCATGTGCCCCCCCACCTGGTGCAGGAAGGGCTCCAGCTGCACGCCCACCCTGGCGTCCGCGCTGCCCTGCACCACCATGACTCCGCGCAGGCAGCGGGGAGAGGGCGTGGGGGAGAAGCTGGAGCGGCAGCTCCCGGACAGAGCTCGGCTGTCAGTGGTCCTCAGCTCGCTGCTTCTTGGCCTTCGCTGCTGTCTCGGCACAGCTGTCTTCCTGTGCGGGCTCTCAGCGGGGCTCTGGAAAGCAGAGGAGGAGGCGGATGATGTGCGGGAGGTGGCGTGCCGGAAGGGCCCACTGAGCCCCCAGCCTGGGCCAGGACAGGCTCCTGCCCAGGAGCTTAAACAAGCCCATGCATGTGCATTGGTTCCTTCTGGAATAGTCTGTTACAAGAAACTGGTAACTGGCCGGGCGCAGTGGCTCACGCCTGTAATCCTAGCACTCTGGGAGGCTGAGGCGGGCGGATTGCTCAAGGTCAGGAGTTCGAAACCAGCCTGAGCAAGAGCGAGACCCTGCCTCTACTATAAATATAAAGAAATTAATTGGCCAACTAATATATATATAGGAAAAATTAGCCGGGCATGGTGGCGTATGCCTGTAGTCCCAGCTACTCGGGGGGCTGAGGCAGGAGGATCACTTGAGCCCAGGAGTGTGAGTTTGTTGTGAGCTAGGCTGACGCCACGGCACTCACGCTAGCCTGGGCGACAGAGTGAGACTCTGTCTCAAAAAAAAAGAGAGACTGGTAACAGCGGCTGCCTCCATGGAGCAGGGGTGAAAGGAGACTTTAAATACCATTTGGTACCTTTTGAATTTAAATATTAAAACATCTTTAGAAATCAAGCAGCACGACTGTGAGCTTCCGGCCTGCGGAGACCGTGTCTCAGCTGCTCTCGTTGTGTTGCCTCCCGTCCTTTGGGGACACTGATCCTGGCTCCACGAGAAGCAGTCAGAGCCCCTTGCAGGGCCGGGGTGCGGGGTGCTTTAGGATTGCGTGGTATAGCTGCACACCATCAGTGTGCATCATGGCTCCCCCACATAATTGCTGTGCGACCCTGGACGAGTTCCTGATGCTACTCTGGGCCTCAGTTTCCCCATCTGTAGAACAGGATAATAATGATACCTACCTCATGGAATTAGGGACAGAAGTGAGGTGAGGCCCATGGTGGGAAGGTTAGCCCAGTGCCCAGAGCAAAGTGCTCAATGAATGTGGCCCATCATTATTATTTCTAGCATTATTACCACAGTGGTCCTATCTCCCTAACAGCTCTGCGTTGTAGGAAAGGCAGGCCACTTTGCAAACCAGCAAGGTGAGGCCTGCGATACCTTGCCCAGGTTTCTCCTGGTCAGGAGCGGAGCAGGCAGTCGAGCCAGGCTCTCCTCTTCTCTGGGCCTGGCGCCCTCCTGCACCTGCCCCTCTGCTGAGGGCGGCTGTGCGTGGCAGGCAGATGCCAGGACCTGGGCTGGAAACACAGCCCCTAAGACGCCCTGACTTGTGTCAGGAGAGTGCCAGGGAGACACTTGGAGGGGAGGCTCTTCTTGCTGCGTTTGTCCTGTCCGAGAGGACGTTCCCACAGCGGTGCCCGTCGGCGCTGAGTTATTAATACTCTCTCCCTCTGCTGGACTCCTGGTCACGGACGCGGCCAGGCCGGCAGTGCTGGACGTGGTTAACCCTCTAAGTGACCTTCAGTGCAGGCCAGGGCACGGCTGGCTGGATCCACACGCAGTGGCTGTCAAGCTGCTCAGGCCCTCGGCTCAGAGGGGCTCCCGCCAGCGCCCAGGCCTCCAGCTCACGGCGGCTTTGGCAGCCTCAGCCTGGCCTGTGCACCCAACAAAGGGCTCTCCTGCGCCAGCGTTTGGCCTGCGGGGTAGGCCAAAAAGCTGCTTTAGGCAGGGGCAGTGTGGGGTCCTGGCTGGTGCAGGGTGCAGGGTGCAGGGTGAGGCTTCGGGAGCCCCTGCGTGGCTGGAGTGTGACTGGCAGACTGGGGTTGCAGGGGTGAGGCGCTGGGGGGCGGGCCTGATGGTGAGCGGCCCGGCCCGACACTCTCGCCTTTCCCAGCTCTTCTCTAAGGCAGCGCAGACGTGAGCCCCACCTGGGAGCCCGAGCAGGAGCTGAGGAAAGAGCTGGAGAGAGGCGTCTAAACTTGGAGGGAGACCGGCCCACAGACGAGCGGACGCCTTCAGCTTGTCAACCCTCTGGTTACGGGGCAACATATCCCCGTCGCTTGGCAAACCCAGTTCTACTTGCGGCTTTGGAGAAGGCAAGAAGGAAGAGGGCAGAGAAAACTGGGGCGCTGGACGCCTCTCCCCTCACTGGGCTGTCTGCGTGTGGGCCTTCACCGCGGACCTGTCCCCAGGCAGAGGCACTTCGGTAACCAGAGGGACGGCCAGTCTGCAAAATTCATTTATAGCCACTCCTGGACGGAGCCTCGCTCCCACCCTCACACTTGTCTCCCCGGGCCTGGGCCGGCACCAACCAGCCTGGCCCTGCCGGCGCCGGCTCAGCTCTGCCAACGCGTGCCAGCCGCGTCCCACGCAGCCCCTGCTGCCGCAAAGCCGGGCAGTCCGCCGCCTCCTCTCTCCTCCGCCCGCCCGTCTGCGCACCCGCTCTCAGGATGGGACGGCGGGGGCGTGGCGGGGGCAATAGCGACAGATGGCCACACACACGGCGCTTGCCGGATGCCTCGCCGTGTTCTAGTGCTTTGTTCAGAGTAACCCATTTAAGCCTTGCCACTGTCCCAGGAGGTAATCAGTGTTACCAGCCTCACTTTACAGATGAGGAAACCGAGGCGCAGGCAGGTTAAGTAACTTCCCCACATGCACCCAGCTTGGGAGGGGGACACGGGGATGAGAACCCCGGTGCAGCAGCCCAGCGTGCGCTCCCCGGCCACGCTGCGGGGCAGCTCAGGGCAATTGTTCATCTAGTTTCAACGTCAGGAAATTGAGCCACAAGGAGGCTGGGACTTGGCCAAAGTCACCTGCAAGTCACTGGTGGTGCCGGGTCAGGTTTTCTTGTCCCCCAGACCACCTGATGACGTTCAGTGCATGTCCTAGTGGAGCGTGGGCTAGGGAGGACGGCATGGGTCCCCACCTCCACAGACACCGTCACGAGGCCGGGCAGGAGGCCCGCCCAGGCCAGGGGTGGTGCTGACTTCTCCAGGGCTTTCTGGCCAGGGTGCCAGCCAGACCTGAGAGGCACTGTCACTCCCAGCCCTGGTTGGTTCCTGCTGCGGCCCTGTGGCGTCCTGCCCACCTCTGGTGTCAGGCGTTCTCAGGGTCCCCGGCTGTTCCTTCTGGCGGAGCACCGAGTGGGCGGGAAGACCCCTGGGCCCCGCACAGCCCCCAGCACAGCGGCAGGCGCGCCCGCCTGCCGGCCCTGGGCAGCTCAGCACAGATTGGGTGTCTGCTGGGTAGCCAGCCTGTGCTTTTAAAAAAGCTAGACTTGGCTGGGTTCGGTGGCTCACGCCTGTAATCCTAGCACTCTGGGAGGCCAAGGTGGGTGGACTGCTCGAGGTCAGGAGTTCGAAACCAACCTGAGCAAGACCTCGTCTTTACTAAAAATAGAAAGAAATTAATTGACCAACTAAAAATATATATACAAAAAATTAGCCGGGCATGGTGTGGCAGCCTGTAGTCCCAGCCTACCTGGGAGGCCGAGGCCAGAAGATCGCTTGACCCAGAGATTGAGTTGCGTGAGCTAGGCTGACGCCCACGGCATCCACTCTAGCCTGGGCAACAGAGTGAGACCCTGTCTCAAAAAAAAAAAAAAAAAAACTGACCTGACACGGGAAACTGAGGCCCCTTCTCAAGGTCACCTTAGGGTGTAGATTAGGTGACGTCAGAGGCCCTCCTGCTTCTGTGCTGTGTGGCCTGCAGTTCTGACGCAGGTTGTTGCGAAGGGGAGGAGCAGTGGCCTCAGCCCCTGGAGCAGCCGCCAGAGCTGGGTGGGGTGGGCTTTGCCGCCGCTTGGGGAAGCGATCTGTGACTCCCCTTGGCACCAATGCTGACCTCAGATTCCCAGGGGAGACCGAGGTCTGTCTGTGTCTGCCTTGGCCGGTGGCCTCCAGCTCTGAGCTGGGGAAGGCCCATTCTTCCCATCCCTCCTGTGCAAGTCCCAAACAAATAATCCAAGTTGATAGGACCCTTTTCAACCCAGACCTTCCTTTTGCCACCAGCAGGCATTCCTGTCACTGGCATGGGCCTGGGGCCTTTGATCAATGCCCCTGGCCCTGTTCTGTTTCCTGAGAGCACTAGGCAAGGAGCCAGAGGCCAGGGTCAGTTCCAGGCATTCCCACCAGCTTGCTCAGGCCCTGGGGTGAGCTGGGCAGCTGCTCCGAGTTTGGTTTACAGCCTTGTCATGATGCTCAGGTGACAAATGCACAGGACTCCTTTGTCAAGTCCTGTTTCCCAGCAGCTCCACCACCTGGGGCTTGTCACTGTGGGTTACTCTTGGGCCAACCCCCAGGAGCCAGCTGGGTGAGGCTCCTGCCTGAGATCCCTCTGCCCCTCTGACACTGCTGAATGCCCCAGGCTCCCTTCAGTGCTTTGAAGGGGGACAAATGTCTCTCTCCAGGCCATGCCTCTTCCCACAGCTGCACAGCCCACACCCTTGCCCAGCACCTTCCCCCGGGCTCCTTGGGGAGGCAGAAGCGGGACAGAGGGGGAGGAGGGAGGAGGGGAGGGCAGGGGGGAGGTGTCCCTAGCCAGAAGAGCTCAGCTTAAAGGCTGCCCACACCCCACTGCCAGGAACTGGACAGATGGCCCCAGGTCCCTGTGTCCTCCTGTCTTTGGGTCATGTCCTGAATGAAATGACTCTGGGCCTCACTCCAGGAGACTTGAGGGCTAATTTCTGCTGATGGGGCACGGCCATCGAGCTGGTTGTTAAATGAGGCCCTGGGCTGTCGGTGTCAGTACAAACCCTGCTCTGCAGCCCCGCAGGGCTGAGTGACACCAGCCTGCGCTGGGCCGCCAGACACTCCCTGGTCTGAAAGGAGGGTCAGCGCCAGCAGGGCCTCGGGTATTTTGGCTTCCAGAGTGGGGACAGATGACAATACCAGTGATTCTAAGACCCTAAGACCTCACGGATGCCAGACACAATGACAGATGCCACCCATCAAGCTGAGATGGACGAGGGCATCACAACTTGTCACCACCAGTCGGCACATTTATGCCAGAGAGCCTTTGTGTGTGTAACCTCTGCGTACGTGCCAAATCTGACTTCATTAGAAATTACGGAAGACGC